ATTGGCCCAAGACAAAATCCAGTCTTGTAGTTGAGTCCTGACTCATTAGCATAACTGCAGCCTATCCCCTGTCATTAACATCATAGAGGTAGGATTTACAACACATAGAAAATTCACATCAGATGACAAAATGGTAGACAATCACACAATACTGGGAATCATGGTTTAGCCAAATTGATAAATGTATTTCTGGGGAACACACTTCAGTCCATGACATGGTCTTAGACAAACTACCTAACGTCTCAGATTCTGTTTCTATGTCATTAAATGGGGATAAAAATGTTTGGTCTCCCTACTTCAAAGGATTTTCATAAAGATTAAATTAGATAATATATGTAGAAGTTCTATGTAAATATAATATAGTTAATAGTAATAGCAGCAACAGTGGAAGCAGTAGTAATAGAAATAATGTTAGAAGTAATAACTAGCACTGGCCAGCATTCAAATGTGCTTCCTTGGAAAGGGGTGAGCTCCCTGCTTCATGAGGTAGTTTTAAGGCAGAACTGAACAACCAGCCTTTAGCATGTTGTGGAAAATAATCTCTGTTGGATGGAGCTTCCAATGATCTCTGATGTTTCCAATTTCAAGACTTTGTGTCTTCATTATATTTAACTCACTTTAACATAAGCTAAAGTGAATAGAATTTGAAAAGTATAAATTTCTTATTATACCCAAAGACATTGACAACAATTAAAAGGGGAAAAACAGGATATTCCAGATACCTGCAGTTTAGTGATTTTTTTTTTTAAATGAACATTATTAGGAATAGGAGCCCTGCTGGCACAGTGTTTAACAGCTATGATGCTAACCAAAAGATCGCCAGTTCAAATCCACCAGCCACTGCTTGGAAACCCTATGGGGCAGTTCTTCTGTGTCTTATAGGGTCGCCATGAGTCAGAATTGAGTCGACGACAATGGGTTTGGTTTTGGGTTTTTGGTATTAGGAATAGGTATTTTGCATTTATTAAATATCTGAAATGTTTTTAAGGCATTTATATCTAAATGATTTCCAAACATGTTTAAGCTGCCAACCCTCTCTAAAAAAAAAAAAGTTTGAATTTCTGATTTAGAAGTAATAGCTGGCCATCACAGAATATTTAGAAAAAAAGTTTGAATTTCTGATTTAGAAGTAATAGCTGGCCATCACAGAATAGTTAGAAAAAGGGTATATATTTCTGTAAAAAAAAGATAATAAGAGTTATAAGAATCTTACCACTTAATGAAACCACAGTTAATATTTTAGTATATTCCCTTTTTTAATGTACAAATAAATATACATATGGATACATACACTGACATTTTTTAAATCCTGCTGTCAGCTAGATTACTAGAACTTGAACAACCAGAATGGAAATAATGAGAATGTTGGCACACTGTAAAAAATGTAACCACTATCACTGAACAATATGTATACCAAAAACCCCATTGCCGTCGAGTCGATTCTGACTCATAGCAACCCTATAGGATAGATCAGAACTGCCCCTATAGGATTTCCAAGGATTGGCTGGTGGATTTGAACTGCCAATCTTTTAGTTAGCAGCTGAGTGCTTAACTAATCCATCACCAAATTTCCAAACAATATGTATAGAAATCGTTAAATGGGAACCTAATTTGCTGTGGAAACTTTCACCAAAAATACAAGAAAATATTATTAAAAAAGAATTAGCTATTTAAATGCTTTAAAAAAGTAAAATCCTGCTATCATTAAATATTCTTAGAAATATTATTTTAAATAGTTTCCTAAATAGTATACCATTATATCTTTTTTTTTTTTTTTTAATTTAACCATATTTTCTCCTGTTAAACATTGAAGCATAAAATGTGGGACTTAACTAAAACATCTAAAGCTGGTAAATTCCATTCTGAATTCATTTGTGTGTTTTTTATCCTCCATGTTGTGTCCTGATAAATGCCACAATGTTCACAGATTATATTAAAATCAGGCTGGCCACTACTTTAAGAGGGGAGTTCATTTTAGGTAAGTGATTCCTTACCAGAAAAACAAGCTCTTTATCTGTAACCAAACAAATTTGAACTCATTTAATGAGCTTGAGGATGTGATGTTGTCTTACTTAAACAGGGTATCTTAAGAATAACTTATCTGATCTGGAAATGTAGACACAGAAATACCAGCTGGAAAAAATTATTTAAAGGGAAATGTTAAGAACCAGATTTCCCATATTTTTTTAGAAAAAATCAGTCTCATAATTGTGCAAATAAGAACTTAATGACTAGCTAAGCTAGATCAGGAATGAAACAATTCAAATGAAAACTTAGAAAACTTAAGAATGTGGTTGATAATGGGAGCATGCAGGCGTAGGGTGGAATGGGAAGGCAGAGAAAGGAAGGCTAACAACACACCTTCCCCAATGCCCTCAACAAGTCCTCTTCACTCCTCAGAGAAATTAGAGGAGGCCTCTTCCACCAAGACAGGGACTAGGTTTATACCAAGAACTTGTAGCCACTTCCAAATATCCCAAATGTCCCATACCCAGGGCCAGAGATGGCAGACCAGAGTCTCTCCAAACTTTCTCCCTCAGATCAGCCTTTCAGAAGACCTGGGATAATTTGGGGGTCAGACCCGTGGGTCCACAGCGCTGCCCCTTAGATATTATGTTAATATGGTGAAAACAGTTATAAGCAGGGATGTGGAGTGTGTAGCTGATCTGAATCCAAGGGATCAGTGGGTGAGAGTAAGGAAGAGGGCATCTAATAGTAACTAACATCTATATGGTATTACCAGGCACTTTAAAGAGCTGTATACATAATAATCCATTTAAACCTCATAACATATTTGCTTTTTAACACTTTCAAGAGGTCTTTTGCAGCAGATATGCCCAGTGCAATATGTCATTTGATTTCTTGACTGCTGCTTCCATGGGTATTGATTGTGGATCCAAGTAAAATGAAATTCTTGACAACTTCAGTCTTTTCACCATTATCATGACGGCACCTAACAACAACAACGACAAACCCTGTAACAACTCTAAAATGTATTTTATTTCTAATTGCTGTTGTTGTTAGTTGCTGTCGAGTCACTTCCAACTCACGGCAACCCCATGTGTGCAGAGTAGAACTGTACTCCACGAGGTTTTCAAGGCCGTTGAGCGCTTTACCTTTGCATATCAATCACTGGACATCAATGAAGCAGAAGAGGACCCACTTTGTAGTTATATCCAGGCAGAAGAGGAGAATGTAAGAAGTAGTTTAACAAGTGCAATAAAGAACAGTTTAAGGGGACTGGGAAGGTGTGGGAAGCCCTGGTGGCACAATGGTTAAGAGCTACAGCTGCTAACCAAAAGGTTGGCAGTTTGAATCCACCAGCCACTCCTTGGAAACCCTATGGGGCAGTTCTACTCTGTCCTGTAGTGTCGTTGTGAATCAGAATTGATTTGAGGGTAACAGGTTGGGAGGATGTGGTGAGAACAATCATAGAGCCATCAGGCTGCCTATTTACATTCTGAGAGCAGGTGGCTTTTTGGCCTCTGATAAGTTATCACTGATGAGTGATTACCTTTTTGCCCTCTTCATTTAGTACCTTCACAGGACAGCTGCTTCCCACACATTATTCCCTTCCTGTAGAATGTTACTGTCGTATTAGTTTAAGGGAGATTAGATGAGCAGTATCAACTAGAAGAAAAAATGTTGACTTTTCCTTTCACTTAAAATCAGGACATTAGGAATTACTGTTACATGGGGAGTGAATAAGAGCAAACACCTGACTACTGTTAGAGTGCTTTACATATATTAACACATTTAATCCCCTAAACAACCCATCCAAAATCCGTGTTTACAGCACTGGGACGTTAAACCACTTACCCAAGATTATACAGCTCGGAAAAGGTAGAGTCAAGATTCCAACCTTTACATTTTGGATCCACAGTCCACACTCTCCACCACTGTACTCTGAGAACATAGGTTCTACTTCCACTCATTTGCGCCACTTACAAGACATGTATGCTTGGACAAGTCACTTCATCTCTCAGTTCCCCTGTTTTCTTATCTCTTAAAATTAAAGGAAAAAAAATCCTTGATTTACCTACCTCAGAATGCTGTTGTGAGTGGGAAATGATATAATGTATATGAATGTATAACACAATGTTGTTGTTAGGTGTTGTCCAGTTGGTTCTGACTCATAGCCACTCCGTGTACAACAGAATGAAATATTGCAGGGTCCTGCACCATCCTCACAATCGTTGCTGTGTTTGAGCCCATTGTTGCAGTCACTGTGTCAGTCCATCTCATTGAGAGTCTTCCTCTTTTTTGCTGACCCTCTACTTTACCAAGCATGATGTCCTTCTCCAGGGACTGGTCCCTCCTGATAACATGCCTAAACTGCGCCTGACCCAAGCCATAGTATTTTCAGTTGTCTCATATGCATGCAAAAGCTGGACAATGAATGGATAAATAAGAATTGATGCCTTTGAATTATGGTGTTGTTAAAAAATATTGAATTACCATGGGCTGCCAGAAGAACGAACAAATCTGTCTTGGAAGAAGTACAGCCAGAAGGCTCCTTAGAAGCGAGGATGGTGAGACTTCATCTCACGTACACATGTTATCATATGACACAATATGATATTGTAATTTATTAATTTAAGCATAAAGCTTTAGCAGTTGCAAGATATTCTTGTAAAGATGACGTTATGCCAATACTTCTTTTTACTACTGATTAAAAGTCCCAGGGCTGACTCTTTTGACGGCCTTCCTCAGAGTATGTTTTTGGACATGATGAGGGGGAAAGGTGAGCATTGGGCTGGACATCCCTTGCTGTGTGTTTTCCTTCTGAAGGTAGAGCAGAAAGAAAGGTGACTGAAGGTATTGCAGCAGCCAACAGTAGCTTCATTAGCGTTTGGTCATTGACTTAGTACTTGTTTACCCTCTGCTCCTCCTAGATTTTTTTCTAAGACCAATAAAAAATATAAAACTATATGGATTTATCTTTTCCTTTCTAGGAGGAGTTTGCTTTTTATTTTATTACAATGAATTTTCTCTTTCAGAACTGTTGCAACAGTGAATAGGCACAGGACTATGAAGAAGGGAAGGTAATTTCCCCCCTCCTTTTTGTCTAGCCCAGTGTTCTGCTTTAGATGTTTATTTTTTTTATTTCTGTTTATTTTCAGTGTTAAACTAATTGTTAAATCATTTAAAAATAATCCTTCTATTATTCACTTGCTTACTGTTGTGATTTTAATTTTAACAGTTACCATAGTTTTGGTTCTTGTGGGCTGTTAGAGATTACATTGAACAATAGAGACATTTTTAGATTGTACGAATATAACATTTTCAACAATGAGGAAGGTGTATTGTTTCTATTTTAGAAAATTTCTGTAGAATGGGTCCACTCTTTCTAAAAGATGTACTATGCTTCATGTTACTTTAGTTGTAAACATTCCATTTATACTATTTGGGCAGGAGCTGTGGGGGTTGGGGAGTATAAAGGATATGAAGTCAGGGAGAGTTTTGGGGGAGGTGACCCAAATGATTAAATTTTCCAGTGCAGTTTGTTTAGTTATTTTGTCACTCAGTTGTTCCCAAATTTAAATTGCTCTAATAATAAATGCAAGCTTTTAGCATTTGATTTTATTTTGGACAAAACAAATTTGATTCTAAAGAAAAACTGGTCATGTGTTAGCTGAGTTCTATTTAAAGATCTTGGTTTTTTTTAATTATAACAGTTCTTTCTGCTTCTGTGGCCCTCAGCCATATGAATATGTTTTGCTTTATTCTGTATTTCCATTTCATTAACCCAACAGAGAGCAGACTCCCAACTGCAAAATGAATAATGCAATAAATGGATTAATACAGAACATGAATTTTCTGCAGCTAAGTAAGTAAAATATATTAGTACAGGTCTGCAAACCCTTATCTGAAACTCTAGGGGCCCTATGTGTTCCAGCCTTTTAAAAAAATAAATATATGCTACCTTTTACCATTTGTCATGTAACACCCCCATCAGGGTCTGAACCAGGACCCTGTAATCAAATATTAATATTTTTGCAGTAAAATGTATCGATATTTAAACACTGAGTGAAATAGATAAAGAGTGTAAATAACATCACCTTATCTCAGGCAGGTTTTGTTGCCCAGTGATCTCATACAAAAATTACAGGAAAACATTTGCTGTACAGACTTTTTGCATTTCAGAATGGCAGAGGCAGGATTGCCACAGGCATCTTTGGTTGCAAAATAATATATTTTTTCTAGTTATAATTTATATTTTACTTACGTTCAAAATAAAATACATACCAAATACTAAAAAAGGATTTTTTTAATGAAGAAAAACCATTAAAATGGGAAAGATACAAGTGTGAAGTTTGTCTCTTTTTTTATCCCAAGTTCAGATATGTTGAAATGTCTACTTAGAATAAATAAAATACAGGAATTTCTGGAATATTATAAATAATGACATTTTAAAATACAACTGTCACATCTCTCTTTTAAAATATCTGTAACAAATTCTAATTCAATATTAAATTGTTACTTACCATCATCCAGTTTACAGATATATGACTTACTATGAAGTGATCATCAGGGTTGTATCCTTTCACCATCTGTATGCTGGGCAAATAATCTGAGAAGATGGACTGTATGAAGAAGAACGTGGCATGAAGACTGGAGGAAGACTCATTAACAACCTACGATATGCAAATAACACAACCTTGCTTGCTGAGAGCGAAGAGGACTTGAAGTACTTACTGATGAAGATCAAAGACCACAGCCTTCAGTATGGATTACACCTCAACATAAAGAAAACAAAACTCATC